GAGATCGATACCGACCGCTGAGCGAAGTTTTGCAAATAGCCTAGCGAAGCTCGTTGTTTCCAGCGTGGTTGCCTCGCTCATACGTCGCTCGTTGTTCTGCATAACTGCGAGCAACTCATCACATTTGATTGCGAGATTTAGGTAGATTACTACCGTCCCTGATAAATAAACGCCTACCTTCATACTACCTAGCCAACTTTTCCCGGCTTTCCTCTACATTCTCCGAAATTTCCCACTTTCCCAATTTCGTCGTCGGCCGAGAGGGGGGGGGGAGATCGTCGCCAACCAAATAGTGTCGTCGTGACATACACAAAGCCAGATAGATGTGAACGCAAAGCTCTCAATCTCTGAGTAGGATTGTCAACTCGTTGGTCGGGTTACTGCTATGAATGAGTGCCTCGTTATCAGATTTCAAGGTGCAGAAGTTTCAAAGTGTTTCTGTGTCTCTCCAAGTCCTGTGTGTGTACTAAAGATTACCCTAGCGATGCTGCTCGCATTTTTATATTGCGAGGTGGAACATCTCGTTCAATGATTCAACGTTTCGACGTGAACAATGGCTTTTTTTTGATGAAGAGAAGAGCACTGTTCTACCAGTCCTGCACTTCCTATGAAATGTTATATTTCAACCTTAAGCCTTGCCTGACAGAAAAAGGGACTCAATAGGATCTGTGTTGTGCCAACTCATGCTTAATGTATACTACTGGGGTGGGTAATGAATTCCTGCCATTTTTAAAAATGTTTTAATGTTTTACAGCGCATGTCGGTTATCTCAGGGGCTCAATAAACATACATCTCCCGCTACCTTCTCTTTTCTACCAACCAAATTGATGTGTTGCTTCGCCAAAATCATTTACTTAGTTAGGATTTAGGAAGTTGCTGAAAGATAACATCGCCCGCCATGTCTGACAGTGAGTAGAAACGGCGATATAATGTGGGCGCAAGGTCGGGAGAAATTGGTGTAATCTGTGGAAAGTCCCAATCGAATTCCTCATGGGCAGCACTGACGGTTTTAGCGGTAAGGACACGTTTTTGTAGAGCAGCATTTTAAACCCTTTGATGGGATCTTTCTAGCTCAGTGACCTCATTCACTTGGTATATAGAATAGAATACATTGTGCAAGAACCGTCCTGCTCTTCACCAGCATTTCCCGGTGCATTAGAACCTCACAATCCCACTGTCGTGACTTGCGCATGACCATCCCGCGGTGCGGCGGTAGTGAACCGCGCTCTGGTTACAACTGTTGTCGGTCACATTATGAAATGCATGAGACGTGGGAAACGGTCCCTTCGGTAACACCATTTTCGTGATTCAAAGACAGTCATCGTTCTGCGGTTGAATCGAGCGCTCGAGCAACCGGTGGACCAAGCGCTGGCATCACAACTCATGTCCCCTGTCTTCTTCTGTCACTTGTGACCAGTTGCACCCCATTTTCTCAACTCGTAATTCATCGTCTTCGGTAGTCCGCAGGTAAGTTAACTTCTATCTCTATTGTTCTGTAAATGTTACTGTTGTGTTATGCCACATCTTTTGCCACTATGTGTCTTGCTTACTTAAAGCTTGTTTACTTGTTGGCTGTTTTGTTTTCAATCCTTACCCTATATGAATATGTCTTGGAACTGGTGTCCTTCTATTAGAGACGGACCCTCAATAGCCCGTGGCGTCTCTTGGAAGCAGTCAACGGCGTTACTCCCCCCATGGAGGAGGTGGAAGCCCTTGTACGTGATACGGGTGCCCTCTGCCGATGCTATCATCTTGTCAACACCTGGTCAGGACACCCACCACGGGTTAGCCAGAGTGCACAGGTCGTCATTGTCATTTTCAAACTCGGCAAACCTATCATCATTCCTCACACCAACTCTTCGCAAACCGCTCAAATGTCCCAAACAAATCGATGGCTTCTTGACTAAAGATCTCACTTCTTGATTAAAGGTGTCTAAATAGTATTTCGTGGGTGGGGTGGGAGTCATAAAACTCATTATGCAAGTACATTTTTTATAGGGGCAAAGATTGTTTGAATGAGGAGCCTTTTATGCCCAGCTTCGAGGCCATCAACGCCGAATGTCTGATATAGTCCGATTTTTTTTTGCACTCCAGAGAAAAATTTTGAAAATGCAGTGTTACCGTCGGCCCTGCGACACGTATTCTCGAAAAAAAACAACCAAAAAATTTTCAGCCTGTTTCCCCGGTATTATACTAATAGAATTCATGTAGCGCGTTGCTTCATAACCAGTATAAATACCAGAAGATCGACAGTGGTAAGCAGTCAATTTAGCCACCAGCTCAGTTCTAGTTTTCC